TCCTGAACACATTCTAATTTACATCTTTGCCACATACAGCCTGAGACACAGGAAAACCTGAGACCCATGAAGAGGGCATGGTAATCTTTGTTTTAAAATTGTATTCTTAATATTAAACAGTTGGGCCAGAGGAAATACACCCTCTCATTTTGGAGACAGGCAGTGATGAATTCTAAATAAAACATCCTCTGAACCTTCCTCAGAATATGCGATAAAGAGTGAGGAAAGTGAGATATATAGTAGTACATGCAGCAGAAATCATTACAATGGCAATTAAAAAAAAAAAAAAAGTGTTCCTCAAAGAAACCAAGCTCTCTTGAAGGGCATAACCCCTCAACAAAAGGGTCATGTAGAAACTGCTAGGAACTGGCTATTATGATAAATTAAAAACAGCATSAGGCTAGTTACCAGATGGGCTACTTACTAAAGGGCTTTATGTCAAAATTTCCCAGCYTGAGATGCCTGTAAGAGGCCCAGAGTTAAATAATCTGAGGAGAGGATTTGAATGGGAAATATACAGCATTAGGATTTTCAAGGATTCAAGCATGGCATTACTTGTGATTAAAGAGGTTATTTCTATATTGGTATATTAGGAAATCTAATGTGGATGAGAATTCAGAGGCCATGAGACCAGAGAGGAAATATGTACATAAATAAAAGYGCAAAGATGGATTGCACACAACAAACAAGTCCTCAGAAAGGGATRTTGTGCACAAAAAAAATTGATTTGCAAAGGAAGGAGGGAGAAAAAAATAGCAGATTTCTGTTGGTAGATCTAGAGAGAACACAAAAATGTATATAGACTATACACTGTGCAAATCACTTTTAGAAACTAAGCAAGAGGCAAGCAGAAAAAAAAAGAAAAACATCCTTTTCTCTGTTTCTTATCCTTGCCATCTTTAACTAGAGGAATAAGGCAGTGTGAAAAGCTGGGGAGCTTAGAAATTGGAACTGAAAGCAGGATTTGCCTTCTAATAGCAGGAATGTGAGATTCACTKTAATTGTTCTAACAGAGCTTCAGCTGCTGCCAGATTGTAACTTGAATGATTGCCAAAGAGAGCTGCAGCATGCTGTAAAGGACTCTGCCTCCCTGAGATGGGTGCTTTAGCAGTTCCCCAGTTTGCAAGTTTATACTTTGAACTCATCCAAGTGGATGGGAAGTCTAACATTAAGGACTGATATGTGTTTGAGCAGTCGAATGTGATGAGAAACATGCTACTTCACAAGACATATCTTCTGCTCTACACAAGGCATCAAAGATGAACTATCTGAGGAGACAGGGCAGCTCAGCAACAGACCGAGCTACTCTTATTGTTAATAATTTCTAAACTCTCTCTAGGCCTTGGAATCATAGTTTTAATCTAGAGTCTGAAAAATACATCACATGAAGAAGCATAGAATAATTTATAAAAATGTATATATCACATCAGTTTATTCTACTGTCTTGTGCTTTGGTTCAATAGTTTTCCTTTTAATTAAATTTCAGTAGGAATATGACAAAGACATAGCTAAGAATAAATCTATATAGTTGATTGTTGTGATAGAAGATTTGTTTTCTTTTTTTTTAGATAAAGGGCATTAATTTTTAAACAAAAGCAATCATGTTCTTCATGTAACTTCATCATGTTAAATTGATAATACAGAGCATTTCTACATTGCAAGGAGAAAATTAATTACTGATATTACAATGACATATCTCTCCACCTTATTTGCTTGTGAATTGGAAATTTCCTGGTACTGCTTTCATAAAATCAAATGAAAAAGTACTGCTGTCATTGGGATTGTTGTTTGGTAATGGTAAAACATAGGCATAGTCTGCTTAAGGGATAGAGAAGAGGTTCATGTCAGTGCACCCCTTCTGTGTCYCTGATCCAGTCAATGCCCAGATGTGCCTCCACAGAGCTGCCKACATGGAGGGGCTGCCTGCTGGGAGGTCCTGGTGCCCTCAGACCTACAAACACCACCACCCCTCTGTCCTGCTACATCAGACCTGGTATGCCCAGCCTGCTGGCTAAGCCACCTACCTCAGAGCCTGTCCAGAGCTCACAGAACACAGAGGGACAACTCTCCATCAATTCCCAGGACACTTTATCTAATCATTAGACCATCTTACTTACTGGAAATGAAGGGAGGAAGAAACAGAAAGGACAAAGTATCCCACTGGATTTGCTCTAGCTTCCTCTTGGTGTTATTCTTCAAAGCCACAGCTATRGTTGACAGGAAAAATGTCCAATGTTAAGAGTCAGCTCATAATATCAGATATTTGATATTATGACAAAGTCACAGGTTAGAATAATTTAAACAAGGACACTTTTAAAATAGCTTAAAATAACTGCAAAGTTTCTGAGATTTTTTTACAGTTTTTGCACACCAGTGGTGGCTTGCTGCAAGTGCACAATTTTGACAGAAATACTGTGCAAAATGAAGTCCAGGGTCTTGCTGTTGACCTGAGTTGTAGGCTTCAACATAGATGTCTTTCAGAGTTCAGTGAGGCGGCTTGGCTGAGAAATTTGTATCTAGCTTGTGGATGAGAGCACCACTGTCTGCACCAAACAAGCATCTYTGTAGCAAATATCTGTTAAGAGGGCAGGTGAGAGAAAGAAAATTATTTATTTATGGCCACTTGAGATGTCAGGTATGGTCTTTCAGAGAGTTTGGACAAAGCAATGCAATTCTGATTCTGCCTCAAGAGGACACATACACATAGCTAAAGCRGAGCAAGTTATTTGCATAAATTAGGGTCCAAATGCTGATTTGTCAATATGATCACCTCATATAAAACACATTAACACACCTAAAAGAGATTTGTAATAATGCATRAAATGTCTTTTCCTCTTTTTCCCCCAATAAATTATAGAAAACCATAGTGACACACAGAAAGTGATAATGACAAGATATCCTTAATTGTAGCAGCAAGAAGAATACACAAACCAGAGCATACTGCAGACAGTAGCTATTAATCTTTAGTATTCCTAGACAAATATTTATAATTTCCACTTTGCAARTGGGAACTGTTTCTGTGATATTTACAGGTATAGCAGAACTGAAATTCTCAAACTAAAACTTTTTTTAGATTCTGATAAGCATGGAAAATTTGTAATGTATGGAAAATGTCATCACTCTAAAACTCTCATAATTTAAGTGTTTGGGAAGGCTCCCCATCCACCCAGTGGTGTCAGGGGAATGGTTTGCAAAATTCAGAACATTTGCGGTGTGCAGTGACAGCTGCGTGACATTTACTTCTGGCACACAGTTCCCCAAACGTGCTCATTGACGATCACTTTATATGGAGAATGTCTGAGTTCTGCTTGGGAGTCTAGGGACACAGCTGATTTTCCATGCCATTTTCAGAAATTCTCTTCATCCTGTATGCACACCARCAGTTTGCTTTCACTCAGATTGATTGCTGTTTTTCTAGCCTATATTTAATATCTCTGATAGGTATTTAATTGCTCCCACWGGGATCATGGCATTTAACTGATCACCATTAGTCTCCACTCTCTGCTGTCATGCTCTGTTGATATTAAATTGTAGTTTCTATTCATCGTGCTCTTCCCCATAACTTGCTCTATAATCTCTCTGCTTTTCATCATTAAAGCAACTTCCTTACTTCCTACACTGCCTTATAACTCTTAAAGAMTGAAACATGAGTAATTTACCTTATGTCCAGTATCACCATGAGTGTGATGGAAATCACAAAACCCAGTAGTAGCAAGATGGACAGTTTAATCTTACTTATACTTATGAAGAGCATCTTTATTTGTACTCACATGGATTACAAGTTTCATATTCATAATGCTTCTGTGAAAGGAAGATGTCTAATCCTGGCATGAGAACAGGAAACCACTGTTTCCCCAAGCAGGAAGACAGAGGAAAAATATGAAAAGTCAGAGAAATCAAAAAGGTAAAAGTGCAGTGAGGAAAGGGAGGGAGATTATTTCAGTGAAGACCAAAGCAAGTCCCAAATACAATTTGGGGCATAAAAGTTAGCACTGCTCTTCATGGTTCTTTCCTCAAAAGGACAACTCAATATTCAAGTGRTCCATAGCCACATGGGTGAGGTGAACACTTCTAAGTTAAGAGTGCATAAATCTTACAGGTTTGAGTTTGGGAAAGTATATCAAACACAGTTCCTGATCTGAGATGAATTATGTTCAGCATTGAAAGGAATGAGAAGGGAGTGTCTCTACAAACAGACTGACTCTGGGGGTAAGATAAGGCTGATACTGGRAGATAGAAGGAAACAATGGGAAAGAGTTCCATAGGAATTTTTTTGATTGACTTATCCCAGATGATGTTAATATGTTAATAGACTACAAGAGCAGAGACACAGAGATGTATATTGAAAGGGGGCAATGTATGATAGAAAGGGGGGTTTCATCACGCGTTTCGGGGAGCCTGTACCTCTCAAGTACCTCAGCCAATGGGGAAAGAGAGAGGGAACTGCATCCAGGAAATTGGGATAAAAAGAGGCTACGTCCTCCATCAATTTGAGAGACCCCATGGGAAATGCCCATGACCTCTTCCTTTATTCATGAATAAAGTTACAGGACTCTTCTGCCTCCTTTTTGGACACAAACCTCTGGTGTTTGTGGATTAATTTTCCTAACAGCATCAAGTTGGAAGGGATTTTGAGCAACCTGATCTAGTGAAAGATGTCACTGGCCATGGCAGCAGGTTGGACTGAATGGTCTTTTAAGATCCCTTCCAACCCAAATATTTCTATGATTACAGTTTCTCCCATTAAAACTTGATTCTTTGTTTCGCTACTGAGGCAACACTAGTATTCCTGTCCCACTGCTAGAAAGCTGAAACAAAATTGCTTTCCCTCTGCTTTATCCCATTTGCCTGTGTCTGGCTCTGTGTGCCAGCCAATGGCCACCAGTTACTGTCTCCTTTAAACAGAGTGGTTCTATCCGCACAAAGAGTAGTGCCACCAGGACAGTGCAACCACTTTGCAAAGACATTATAGCATTTAGATGTGTGTCATGTTGTTCCCTAGACCTTCCCTGCTATTATCAGAATAAATAAGGAGACAGCAAAGAACTCAGTATTTACCAAGTCTAATACCAACTGCTTTGCAGACTAAGATAAATTCAAGCTCTCTGAAGAGAAACTGTGGCCCCTTGCAGCTTTTTGTGGTTCTCAGTCAGCACAGCAATAGTCAGCATGGTGTCCCTTGCCACCCGCTGTCCTACACCTCTCCATGCTAAGCTTAAGTTGGAGCACTTTCAGGGAAATCCAGCTTCTCCAATGTCCAGAGTTTTTCTCACTGGCTTGGCTGCACAAGGACRTCGGTCTGAAGAACCTCAATGAAGTTGAAGAAATCCTCCATGTTTTGCAGGTTTTATTTTTTGCCTGCCCCAGACAAGCAATCACCTCATTGTGTCCTTAGCTTTGAACTTACAGAGGCTCTGAAACCCTTGTTTTKTCAGGGCAGGACAGCACAACACATGGTACAGGTCTGCCCAGTGCAGGGTCAGGGTACCTGGTACCTGGTACCTAGTGGTCTCTGGATCAGGGGGACAGTGACCACCAAAACAGCCACCTCTGGTCACACCAGAGGATGTTTGCCTCCATGTGCCCAGAGCTAAACCAAGGGTCATATTTGGGCCAGAGCAGAAATTCCCACCTCCCTACTCCCAGGTGCACTGAGGCACTTTGATGATCCCTGTGACATCAGGGATGACTGCCATAGAAGAGGCATTGGCATTCACAGCACAGGTCATACTCACATGGAGCTTTGCTTTCCCTTTAGCTCCTAGACTGCAAATGAATAACCATTTAAGCACATTTGTTATTTAAATAAGGCCAAAAAGGGAACATAATTACTGTGAAAACCAGTGCACTGTGAAACCTGTAGCATTTAAATCCAACTGTTGACCTTAAAGAGTTTCATCTCATTACACTTCCAGGATGTAAAAAGGGACAAGTGAGTACAGCAGAGGGGCAGCTGTGGTGGCTCATAATACTGTGTTGTAAATCTCTAGAATACATTTTGTTAACCTCTACTTGCCCTCCTCCCTTGTMATTTTCTCCTTCATCACTTGATTCCTCTTTGAGCATCTGAAGAGACTGCCTAACTATAACCAAAGAAATATTTCATAACACTTCCCGGCCTCACAGGATGTCAGAGTACTTTTAACCCTTCTACTGTCTTTGAAAAGCTGATGTACCACTGGGACCCATCCTCTAGATCACAGCCCTCAGAAATGCCAGGAAAACCCTCTTTGGCAGGGAATTACGTATTGAATGTTCAACCCAGTGGGCCTGGTCCAACTAATGTTGCCCAAGCTGGTGTTCTCCATACCAGAACCTTCTTCCAGAACCAGGACCCACTGAAACTCATCACTGTCAGGCTGCCTAGAACAGGGAGAGTGACACTTTCTGCTCTGAGCCAGCATGAAAATGATTGGAAAACCTGCTGTGACTCAGGTAAAAGGAACGTGTTGCAGGAAGACTGATGGCATCCAAAAGGCTGATAGCAAAATCTGACTTCTCTCRGACATCCCAAATGCTTCACTGCAGACCTGGTGAGAGGAAATCTGACCTATTCATACATGTGGCAGTCAATAAAAGATGTTAATCAGCCCAGAAGGCAAGAAATGGCAAATGTTACACCAAAAACTGCCTAATGCTACCTCTGCCAGGGAAACAGAGGGAAAGCAGGAAAGCTCTACAGGAGCCACARAGCCTGCAAAAAGTATATCAGTGTTACATAAAGTCCACATTCAATTATTCAACCTTTCTCTGCTTGACGCATTTGAGCCCCAGGTCAGAACAGTACTTAACCCTGTATCCAGTCAGAGCCAGCAGTGATTTTGGAGGCAGCACCATTGAGCTATCTGCAGTCAGAATAAGAGTACATTGAGTAATTGAGMACAACTGCAGACCTGATTCCTAACTGGTCACACAAGGTCAAGATATGGCAGCATTTCAGACTTTTAAGCAGTAGYTGTTTCTTGCCAGAACACTGTATATTCTCATAGAAAATGCAGCTACAGGCAATGTACAAATGCAACAGCAGCTGCTGTGTGTTCAGCAGGAGTGAAGGCACCAGCAAACACAGGGCCATGCAGATACAGAGCTTGAGAGATGTGTCCTACTTCATTTTACATGAATGCAATCCAYATAATCAGAAATAATAGGGAACCCAATTTAGTGAGTTAGTCACTGCACAGACACCCAACAGAGGCTGCCCCTGCCCTTCTCATGAGTTGTGGTGCTACAGGCACAGAGACATGCACTCACAGGATTGCAGGTGTGTAGCAGAGCTGATCTGACTCTTCCCACTGGGCTGGAATTCACAGCTCAGAGGAGCTTTCAAACAACACTCCAATGAAGAGCTACAAAAATCTGGGGATGGACAGCATGAATTGTGGGTTTTTGACTGTAAAGAAGAGAAAAATGTCTGTGGCATCTCCACTGACTTTCCAGTTCCCTTTGAGGAAGCCATTATTTACCACAACAAAGAGTATATTCCAAACTGAAAGAGATCTGTCACCCCTCATGGACACCAAAACAGTCAGGACAAAACTTGAAGCAACAGTTTGACACTTCAGCATAACTGCTTCATGTGCCATTCACTCCCYCCTCCCTGACTCACAGTTCAACACAGCAAACAGCTCTGCCTTCCTGCCCAGAGCTCCATCCAATAAGCTGTGGACTGCAAGGAAACTATTGCMGCTATATAAAGTGGTGTGAGAGAAGGCAGAACCAGGCCCTTTGTCTTTAAAAGCTCAGCATTGGCCTTAGTGATTTGCATGGGCAGTATTTTCCCACTTAATCCTCTTCACYGTAATTCAGAGAAGTAAAGCAAACACTCTGCAGAAGTAGTAGCTGAGTTTGGCCATTATTTTGTTAACGTAGGCACACAGTGCTAGCCACTGATATTAACTCAATACACAATCTTTATTCTGTTATTGTAAAAGAGGCAGTAGCTGCAACCAGCATTAAAAATATCTTTTACAAAATACCTTTCACTGTTAAAAACAGAAAAAACTCTACAGATAGTGGAGCAAACACTACAGGCTACAACTTTTCTAGAATCACACACCAGTTTCCCTGATCATAGTAACTCTTTTCAACCCTTACACAGTCCAGGGATGAGCACACTGCTTCCAGTTCCCCCTCACAGAACACATGGTAATAGCGGTGGAACACAGGGCTGAGTTCTTGTGATTCTTTGGAGCCACCTGGAACCAACACTGTATCGACACTTTCCTCTTTCTTTTTAGTACCACCTTTCAGGTGCCAGGGAACCAGCAAATCTTGAGAGTGAAAGGACGTTCTGTTAGTGTGAACAGGCAGTCTGGAATCTCCTACTGGCTTGGCACCGCAGCCTTCATCCTTTAAGTCCTTAAGGAGTTGGTCAGACCATGCTGAGTCTTGGCTGCTGTTATCAGGCCCTTGGTCATCAAGTGGTCTCTGGGCTGTGCAAGTGTTCATTTCCTTCTCTTTGTTTTTACTACCATTCTTTTCTTTAAGGTATTTAGACTTCTGGTTTTTGTATTCTTGTTCCATTGCCCAGACGTAAACAAGTGCTCTTCCACCAGGTCTTAGAAGCCGAGCCAGTTCACGGATAGTAGCCAGTCTCCTCTCCTGGAAAGGCAGAAGTGTAAAGCTAGTACATAAATAAAAAGTCAGGAGAATGGAATGGCAGCAATTACTCCTTATCCAAGATCCAATAAAACTTGAAAGGAAGGTCTTTTTTCCCACTATTTATTTTTATTCATAATATAACCCATCCCTGTGTGCAAGCCAAGACATTTTCCTAAACACAACTTCCTCATCAAGATATCATTCATGTCAAGCATTGGAGTGGGCTGTTCAGGGCAGTGGTGGATTCACCATCCCTGGAGGTATTTAAAAGACATGTAGATGTGGCACTCAGGGACATGAYTTARTAGTGAACTTGGTGGTGCTGGGTTAACAGCTGGACTTGATGATCTTAAAGGTCTTTTCCAGCCTCAGTGATTCTATTATTCTCTTTACATTTGAAAATTGTTCTGTGCTGAACAGCATTTCTTGGACATATCAGTTTACCTGGAAAAGACAAACACCTTTTAAAGAAGGTGATTCAGTATTTAAAATCACAGATTCAAATCTACCATACCTGATGATGCCCAGGCTAAGTTTGCAGCTGAAGGGGTCAGATTTACAGGTTAAACACAGGTCCTCTGACCACACGAACAAAGATATGTCAGCCTTCTCCAAAACAGTGTTTTGCAGTGGATTTGGAAATATTCACTGCATTTCTGGTATGGAAAGATCTGTGGAGCCCYTCTAAGATAGCCTAGAAGCTTGTTACCATGGCACAGCTCTTGCCAGGAGAACCCTACCCAGCCCAGAGATGCAGCAGACTAATGAGTAGTGTCCCTTCTGTTTGGAGACAGATGACAAATGGACTGATTAAAAACCCAAAATCACCAGATCTGCCCAAGAGCCCAAGATCTGAGCACAGAAACAATGTATGTCTTGATTCCCAAAGCAGAGCCCCCTTCTCCAGTGTCATTAACTGCAAGCACACAAAAATGAAACCCAAACACCAGGACCAAAGCTTCAGGAAGAGGCATCTGACAAACACAGGGAAAACGTGAACAGGAAGTTTAACAAGCAGCAGTAGCACAACAGTTTAACTCTGCTTTGATAGTTGCTTACACCAAATGCAAATCTTAAATTTCTTCCCATTTTGTTCTTCCCTTTGCTTGTATTGCAGTATTAGCAGCCCTGCACAGCAATACCACAGCACAGTGGAGCATAGACAGGGGTGACTTACTGCTGTTGAGAAGTGGTGTATTACAGCAATAGAGATGCAGGCGTCACAAGAACCGCTGCGGATTGGCACTGACAGGGCATCACAGACAAAAGYCTCGAAATGTTTTTCTCCACAAATATCCACCAGGTTTTTGCTGCGATCACAGCCAACCTATAACAGAAAATGTTTCATTAAGCTTTTCATAAAAGGCTAATTACAGGATTGGAATATGAATTTCACTTGATGCTTACAGTAATACAGCCATCACAGTCTCCTACTGAGGAATAGGTTAAAATCAAAACAAGAGCAAGTGTAAAAAAACAGCCTTAATGGAGTATATAGTTCCCATGTATACACAAAAAGAAAACAACCCTGATGCTTACTTKAAACAAAGATGAAAGCCTGGATACTAAACAGCTCATTACAGCACCCTGATTTTGAACCAGTTTAAGAGGGACCAGGTTTCAACCTAATTTTTCTTCAAAACCAATTCAAGGTGTCTTGAAATGAACWAAATGAGGTGTGACCTAACCTCAGTATTTTAATTTCAACTGCCATTTGTAACTTGACAACATCTGAAGTACCCAAGAACTGAATTCTCAAAAGCTGATCTACAAGTGTAAACAACAATCCAGTGACTTTGGTGGCATCACTAAAGGATGGCATACAGCTGCATTAATCACCAGTCAGGTTTTGTCATTTCAGTGTAAGGAAGTGTTAAGATATTTTCCTYTTACTCCCCAGCATCATGCTCCACAAAAAATTTAAGCACAACATAATTTTCCAATGTGAAATGACCCCTAGGAGCCAATTTAGAACATCTCATAAAACGTTATTTTTTTCCCCTTTCCTCCCTTTGAACCCTGTCCAGTGTCCACATCAAAGGCAGTTAGACAAAACTTACCCTCTTCGAAAAATCAGCATCTAAAAATGGTTTTTGTACATGTTTGCATAAGAACAGTAAATCAAAATTGGTCAAGATTCCTTCTGAAAGAAAGAGTGAGCCATGTCCCACCCTTGTTTTCATGYCTGCCATACACACTGAATATTCAAACCAAAGCCCTGCTACAAAAGCCCAAAGCCCAGGTTGTATATCAAACTTTGCTTGTATGAGAATAATAAATTTATTTGCTTTCAATGATCAATAACAAGTAGATAGCAGAGAACAGGATYGGAATCCTAAATAATTACTGTTGACAGCATTTATACTTTGAAAACCAAAAGAATACTAAATCACTGTTGCAAGAAGAATAGCAAACAACTTGCTCTGCTTAATCAACCCAGAAGAGACAACAGTGYCATTAAAATGAAAAACCTCTTTTGCAATGATTAATGAAAATACACTTATTTTACATAATAATTTTTCATTTTATCCATTCAAATCCATTTATCTTTCAGCCTACCATCACAGTTCTGAAGAAAACCAGAATTCCTGTATCCTGAAAGCTTAYCAGGGAATTGCTTTCTACTCAGGTCCCTGGTTTTTTATCAAAAGTAAATTAAACGGTTGTGAAAATGCCAACCTGACAATACAAGATAATCGTTCACAAGRACAGTACTGCAAATATGTACGTATTATCCTGACAATTATTAATAAGCAGACCTGAGAAGATCAATCCTAACATTGCTTTCTTCATATTCATTCTCTGGCCTCTCATATTTCTAAAGCACTGAGTGAACAGTGGTGTTTATAAATAAAAAAAAGGAAACACTTGTTTACTTGAAAGCAAACAAATCCCCATCATTTTACACTGGCAGGTAACTGAAGTGTCYTTAAATTACTCTGACAACCTGCATGTTAGTGATTGCACACCTCATTACCACTATCTTTACTGCTGCAATTAAGACATTGTGGCTTGCAGTACTTAATAACAGAACTCAAAGAACCAAATTCACCGCTGGCAGGAGGAAGAAGAATACTTGCAGCTTCCCCTGACAGCAAGCTTTCCCAGAAAGAATTGCTTTGACCCTCCCCATCTAGAGTAAAAATAGGCTGGATAATGGAACACAATCCCCTTCCCAAAACGACCTTGAAAAGGACTACAATGTATGYTGATGAAATTCAATGAACTGAGAATGAGAACAAAGGCAAGACTGCCAAAATGCAAAGTCCTCATTTGCATCTAAATTATATCAAATACTRTGAAGTCAGGTCTGCTTGTATTGACATACTTTCTAAAGCAAATGTACATCCAAAGCAAAATGATGCTGCGAAAATGGAGACCTTGAAACAGAATGCTTTGAACACACAGCTGCTCTAAATATGCATATTAGGTTAAAACTTTACATGGTTTTAAATGTAAACACAACAATAGGTGCTATGCATACATGCATAAATAGTGAACACAGGGAAATCACCACAGATGCCCGGTGCTGAAGCTGGGCAACTTYAGCATCCTTACTAGAATTATCACATGGTATTTCAAAATACTTGCATTCAACACATTCCTGCATTTCCTAACTTATAAGAGGCATGCATTCATTACAAAGCAAAATACATTACTTTCAGTCACTTAGAAAACAGTAAGATAGCAAAAAGCAGGCAAGTTAGTGGTGCAATGCCAGCCTACAGCTGCAAGATTCTCCTATCTGTGGTTTGTATGAGTATAGAAAACAAGTACACCAAGGGGCAGGGATCCCAAACTCAACTTTTCCCAATTCCATTACTGATTTTTACCTTCTAAAGYATGCAGAAGCTTTGATGTGGTGAAATTTCATTTACAGAAGAGTTCAAAGGACTGTGTTAATTGAGAACAGGTTTTTCTCTCACTAATTAAATATGCAATAAAAATAATTTAAAACAAATCTTAAAATGTAGCTGGAAAGTTCTAAATTTTGCCAGTTCACCTCTCTAATTTCTCTAATTTTGATGCTCAGCATAGGCTATTTTTTGTTTTTCCTGTCGTCTCTTCTAGAAGAGTGGAGAAAGATGGATGAATTACTATTAGTTCAGTGTCCRAACCCAATAGAATCTAGTACATCTCTTGGTGAGCCAAGTTGTATGTATATGTTTTTATGGTTTTCTATTCCTTATTATCTATGATTCTTTTCATAGATAAGAATCATAAAAACTGTTTTCTCAGTTTTCCAAATCAAATTCCTCATTCAAACTCCACAATTTCTCATATGTATTTCACATAGCATGGYTGATTATTGAGCTGAACCTACCTCAGCAAGTCCACCTCTCTGCAAGYTGCTCCACAAYTTTCAGYATTCCCATGGAGGAGAYTGGCTTCTYAGGCTGCTCAGATTTTGCTCCAGAYATTTGTTCCCATTTCCCTGCCTTTTTGGCARGTACCTCCATCTGTCTCTTCACCACTTTTTGTGATGTAATGACTMACAGAAGCTCCAGAATGGCCACTGACACCTAAGTACTGTGGCTGAAATCCACTTGGATTTCAGGCTCTGATTTTCAGTGTATAAGGATAAATGCTAATTGCATCCAACTCTTATTTTAAGACCAAGATAGAAGAGGAGAAGGGAGGGARAAACAAATGTTAATACCTGTGACTTGTCTGAGTTTGCAGCAGCTCTGTACTGMCTTCCTGGAAATGGATAACATAGGCAGTTTCCTCATCCTGCTCCTTCATGTTCCCATGCACCTTCACCTCCACCTCTTTAGCGAGGAGTAGCTAAAGTAGGTTTTATAAAATCTACTTAATGAAGTTGAAACACATCATTAAGGGGCAAAAGACACTAATAAATAGCTTGCTTTGTAATGATGCTGCAAATCTGCAAAAGGTAAATCCTCTTGCATGCTGAAATAAAGACAGGTAAAGACAGGTGGAGCTTACCCTCCATTATGYTTTCTTTCTACATTATCTCATTCTAACTAACTCAGCCTGGTAGAATTAGTTAATTGAAGTATCGGGGAAACTGATTTATTCAGCACATTACAAAACAATGAACAAAATGACATCTTATTCTGAAATCCAGCCACCGAATGGGATTATGTGGCTCTCCAGAGAAATGCCTCAGCTATAACTAATACCATGAGAACCTCAAGAAATCAAATTACATTCCAGCAAACAAWTAGACTGAGTCAGGCTTTTAGCATTCCTCTCTTGTAGTGTTTTGGTTTTCCATTGCATACAGTCAGGGTATCTCTGAAAGCAAAAGTGCCATGCCTAAAACCCAGAGTTCATTTCTCAATGACAAAGCAACAGAACCAAGTTGAGCAATTCAGCATTCATTCTGGTTTTGTGCTGCTCTTGCCCAGTTCCTTCTGAGCCCTMCTCCCAGATCTCTCATCAATTTATGACTGTTATTCATTGAGAGAAAAGGGCAGGAAAGGTTCATCTGTCTCGCCCTTCAATTGCTAAAACATGGTATACTCCAGGTATACCTTTAGTAATTGGTTTTGTCCCTCCTACTTTTACCACTACTAAAAAGTCCTTAGGAAAGGAATCTATTCCAAATCTGTACAAACCCAATGCAGCTAAAACCCACCCAACTTTAGGCAACCATAGCATAGTAAATATTCACTCTCTCTCTTTCCCATATCCTGGAAAAATCAAATTTTTACATAGTTCTAGTAGATCCCAGTTTGGGAGAGTAATGCAGTAAACAGGGGTGCACATCTCACAGAAAAAGGGTGTCTTACAAGTTCTTGTGAAATATGAACTATGTTACCAATTACCTTTGAATGATACACACACCAGAAATAGGAATGTCTGTATTAAAGCAAATCATTTTGGTTCCTCTACTGACATAATTTTTTCCCTATCATCAGTACTCTGTCAAGTAGAGTAATTTCTTTACACAAAAAGAAAAAATATCTACCCTGTGGCATTTTCAGTTGTTTGCCACTGAATTTCCCACCAGTTTATCAATTAAAAATGTAAACCACAAATCTGAAAGACTTCAAAGACTTTTCATTCACACCCTAGCCCTGTGAGGATGTTGAATGTTCCTGCAGAGACTKAGACATCACCACATCTGCCTGAACACTGGAAACAAGGAGACAAAGCTAAAGTGCATAGGAATTTATGAGATCATTGCTATAACATCAATAAAACCTTTGTTGTAATTGGGGGAATGGCTAAGGCTGAAACACAGCATTTCATAAAAATAAAAGCTCTGTTTACAGATATGAATATGAAGCTTGAAAGCACTTAAATAAAATCTGTTAACCTGTTAAAATAATTCCCCCAAATGAGGCTGACTAGGGAGAGAACTGTGAAAAAACAGCCCTAAAAACAAGTGTATTTTTTGCATTTATTTAAACAATAAAAATATGGATGAGACAGAAGCAGTAATCTGAAACTCCATTAAAACTCTATTAAATTCAACCTGTCTCCAGTCTTTGTGCTAGCTACATCACACATGGATTCCATCTCCAGCTGAAACATTCTTAATCTGAATTTGTTTGTCATGGAATTGCTGTTCTGTCCCTGTGTCAGAATAATGCAGCCATTACAGCACTGTCACTTTCGCTGAGCGTAGATGGGCTCGTGCATTTCATTGTCACACAGGATACTCAAGCAGATAAGGCAGCATGCAATCATGGGGAGAAACTGAAGCAAGTACAATAGCACAGGCCACAATGGAGACGTTTTCAGACACTACCTGAAGCTTAAAACCATCAAGAGAGTTACTTTAGCTTTGATCTACCATTAGCACTGCTACTTAAAGCATAAAAGTGCACAATAACCTGTAAAGCATATTGCTTGCCTTCAGGAAATGTTTGCCTCAGGTTTGCAGTATTTCTGMGTCAAAACACTGCAAACTACAGAGCTGTGCCAACAGTGCTCTMCCCAATCCCTAAACAGCTCCTAATTTCACAGCACTGCTTTATTGCTTCCCTCCCAACAGCACCTGGGCTAAAAACTCCGTACACTGTGCACAAAAAAAGAGATGCAGAATTGACTAAGTTAATGTCTGGATTTTATGCCTCCAACTAAAGAGGAGTAAATGGGGAGAAAACTGATGTCCTGCTTCTAGAGAGTACTCCCTTTATCCTAACAATATATCTGATATATAAAACATTCTGTAATCCCTCACCCTCATTTCCATGTCTAAACCATAGCAGATGGAATTAACAGCACTCGAGATACCCTGTCAAAATTTTAAAACCACCTGTAAACAGCACTTTCTTTAACCACCCTTTGGCTGCTACAGAAAAATAAACCTAGTAGAAGGAAGGAGTCACATGTTTCCTACTGAGGCTCTGTGCTGACTTGCAGAGGAAAACAACCAAATTCAAAGTCTAGAATCCATCTCCATCCAAGAAGCAGCAGTTGTCACCAGTGGAAAATAAAATGTCAAGGGAGGCCAACTTAATGAAGCAATTCCCAGATTCTATTTTTCAACAGTTTCAAAAGCCTCTTTATTAGTTTCCGCTCTTTCACTGTTGTTTTTTATGTTTTTTATTTCTCCTGCAGRCACATATGAAATGAGGTAACTCCTAAAGTAAGAGAGAAGAGGAGCTCGCTTTCCTTTGACTGCCAGCCAATATGTGATCTTTCCTTTCCTCAGCTGGTTAACTGTGGGCTCCAGAAAACAGACTGGTGCTGGCAATTTCTGCACACAGCAGCTTGSATTGATTTCACTTTAAAAGTCTACTACAAACCTCCACAACTGCAATTTACCAAATCCATTYTAGGACCAGCTGACCTTTATGATACCCAGATAAATGTTTCTCCTCTCTAGTTAGGCTTGCTGATTTTTCTTACAGCACTCAGGAGTGAAAGACTTAAATGTACTGAAATTAGTAATTATACTCAGACTACAGCAGCCAGGCATACAGATGCCTACTCATTAACTGGTTGATGTTGTTCTAGCCCGTAAGAACAGTRAATAATWAAAAAAAWTTACTTACTAATACAGACAGGGTTGTAAATAACAACTTATCTGTTTTAGCTGAGTTTAAATAGCAGGACAGARACTCCTGAAACAGTCAAACAACTCCAAGTTTTATTATTAGCAATGAATGCTTTGCCCTATGTAGATATTTTCAAGCCTGATGGATTTCAGAGTGTTTCACAGGACAAACGTGTGAAAGTATCAGACAATCCTGGAACAGGAGAAAGCAGATACCATAACACATACTTCCCCAAGATTTCTTTTGGGGTAAAACAAGAGCAAGTTTGACCTTTTTTTTTTTTTTTTTTCAAAACAACTTTTAAATATTTGCAATGGAAGCCCTCTCCTGGTTCATATTTGTACATACCTCATCGCTCCCTGATAGGAAGGGAGAGAAGCAAAACCAGACTAAATACAGACTATGAGACAGGGAAAGAAAATTTGAGCAAGAATTATTATGTCAGAACTTTCTAAAAGTGAAGAAGAGGGAGTGAGAGAAAGGCTATAGATATGCATCAAAGTTGAGATTTCCCAGTGAATTTTATATTGGCATATTTACTGGGCCTGTGCACAGAGACAGAGGGGAACAGCCAAACATGACATTCACAAATGAGACATGTCATCAGGCTACAGGAAACTGAAGAGCACATATAAAAAATAGTGTTGCCCATGGAGATTTCACCCACCCACCAACGAAGTGAAAATCGTGTTGGAAACATTCAAATTACCCAACCATTTAATAAATTTATTCAATAACAATGACAAAAAAGGCTAAACMATCCATTATAATTTTTCAATCCACTGCACCCATTACTTTTCCTCTTAACATATTTTTAATTACAAAGCAAAAGTGGATTTGAAAAAAAGAGAAAGGCAATTCACCCAATGAACACATGTGAAAACTTTAAGACAATTGGTAATTGATCTTGAATCAGGAAACAGTTTTCTGTGCTCGGGATTCTTCCAACGCCAACCTAATCCTCCAGCACGGTACAAGTGCATGACAGAATAAACACCAGAACCAATGAAAATAAATGACAGTAGCTACTACTTACCATGTACAAATCCTCATTGATGCCTAGGTACTTCCCATTACCACAGCCAATATCAGCTACTATTGACCCTTTTGGCAGGGACCTGAGAAACTCCACAATTCGGGGCCATGGGCTATGCCTGGTACTGCTGAAGTGTGTGGCAATCTCTTCATACACCTTGTGCACATATTCYTGCTCCAGCTTTGAGGCCTCCATCTCATTCTGGGGAAATGAAGGTTGCACCAATTTCTGCTGTCCTTTCTGGCTGTCACAGACAGATGGGTAAACTAGATACATCAACAGATACAAAATGGGTTTTTTTAACAATTCCTCGTTGATTAAGCATATTTAACAAAATTAAATTAAAAGTGAAATATTGAAATGCAAAAAAAATACTTCATTCCTCCTTTACCTTTTAAAAAGTGAAACACAGGTCAAACTGCCAAAGTGTTTGAYGACCTGAAAACAAACAACCTGCCCACACGTACCAGAGGCTGTTTGCAGTGATCGTTAATCTGCTTATGTTAATGATGTTTAATGATGTTTATCTCAAAACTGAGATAGTGCCCTCAATGTCAAAGATCATGACATCACCGCAGTTTGGCATCTGAAATGCTGCTCTGAGGGCAGAAATGGCCTTCAGTTCCATGTAATCATTGRGCCACCTGTCCATTACTATCTGCAGTGCCCTAAGGCACTTCACATGGTTCTGCCACTGCAGATTTGACTGCTTCTCCTTCTCTAACATACTAATTTTCTCAAAAAATGTCCCCTTCAAATAAAAAATTATCAAAAGTGAGGAAAACTTGAAGAATAGAAGTTACTTCTATTATATTATTAAACACTTGAAACGCCAACGAAACACAAGACTCCAGGTTACTCGCCTTGGCTCTGGAGCAAGCCAAATGCCTTCCTGTATAGAGAAACTCCAGCAACCACATGAATGCAACTAATTCAAGACATATAGCAGGATATATAGACCATCCAGGAATAGCTATGAGGACTGCCAAAACTACCCAAAGGAATCAACTTATTTGCTCAAAACAAAAAATGCTTACCTACTGACTATAAATAACAATTTCGACTTGAAGATTGCCTCARTACACTTACTGCAATTGCAAGGGCTTCTCCTCACTTTCCTGAATGTAAATGATGTTCTTGTTTCCCTTCGATTTAATGTTAAATCTCCAACATCAGCAGTGATTGCTCCAACTTTTTGCCCAAGCTCTGATGCTTGAATGACATCRTATTTTCTGGGTGTGATCCTAAAATAAAGCAACACAAAGTAAAGGAATAATTCAATTTGCATCAGAAAAAAACCCAATCCATCTCTGTACGAAGGCAATTTTCACTCAGTGAGAGAAATGTGATTACAACATGCTATTTAACATACTGCTGCCTCTCAGTTTTCAACTTATTTAATATCARAGAGAAAAGAGATGACACGTAAACTAATGACATGAATTAAAGTTTAATTGCATATAATTACATTTTCCTTCCCTCCCTCTCTCCATGTTTTTCCATGATGTTTGATTGTTTGTCTAGTGCTTAATTTTTTTTTTGTATTAATTTTTGTCCTAGTTTTGGCTGGGAYAGAGTTAATTTTCTTCTAAGCATCTGTGCTAGCAGCAACAGTGCTGTGTTTTGGATTTAGTACAAGAATAATGCTGGTAACACACTGATGTTGCAGTTATTTCTCAGTAGCACTTWCTCTAAGTGAGGACTTTTTGGTTTCCCATGCTCTGCCAGTGAGGAGGGGCCCAAGAAGCTGGGACAGAGCATGGCCAGGACAGCTGACCCAAACTGGCCAGAGGGATATTCCATACCATAAAGATCATGCTCAGTGTATAAACTGGGGTCAGTTGGCCAGGAGGCACCTGGGGACAGGTGATCATTGCTGGGGACAGGCTGGGCATTGGTCAGTGGGTGGTGCACAATGCGTTGTGCATCGCTTGTATCTCTTGGGTTTTGTTCCTCTCTCTCACTTCCTTTCATTATTATTATGAGGACTTCCCAGYGTCAAAAATAAAATGCTACACACCCTCTTGCTTGGCACAGTGTTTACTATTGCAGTGCCAAGAATAGTTTTGTCAGGTTACCCAATCAAATATGAAAAACATCACCAATTAACTTCATCAGAAAAGTCAGAATTTTACTTTCACCTATGAGTCAAAAAGAGAATACATCTTTCATTCTCCTTGATGACACTGTATAGCTTATTTCTAAGCCATGTGTTTCTCTTTCAGAAGGAACTGAACAAAATTTTTTTTCCTGTGCATTTTGTTAATGGAGTCAAAACAAAGGCTCTAATTCCTTGGCATCCAAGTATACACACTGAAAACATGCCCAGAATAATTTCAAAACTGACTCTTTTGCTCTTATAATTTGACTTCTGAGGTGTAGATAAAAGGCATCACAAATTATACTATAGATATTTTGATAATATGTATGCAAGTGAATTAGCTAAAACTTCTAGCTGGATGATTAATTTTCATTGCAATATAACAATCYGGCAGCATAACAAAAAGCTTACTCCAGCTGATTATCTTGACCCACTACTGCTTTTAAAAATACATATAAAAGCTATATTTAGGAAAGGTAGACAAGAAATGGGATGGCAATTATTTGTAAATGAGTAGAAAACCCGAGATCTCCATTTTCAATGTAGTTTATGTCGTTGGTTCTCAAAAGACAACCATCACTTTTAGGTACACAGGAGTTAAGTAATAATCTCATTCCAGTTTTTAACAGGCAGGTACACTATTCCAACCTCAGTGCCTGCTGGCTGTACCCAAAGGGCCCAGCATGCATCCTTCTGCCTCCTAGGAGTGTGGCTGCCCAGGGCGAGCTTGGAAGCAGCAGAGCTGACAGCCCTGGAGAAAGGTGAGGCATCAGCAAGGGTGAGCCCTCCTTTCCAWGGGAGCTGTGTGTCAGCRGAGGCYGTCCCCCTGGGCCGTGCTCCAGTTCCAGCCCCAGACACATCCCCAGCTCYRTCTGTGCACRGCCACTGCCCARACCCCTGGGCTGACACCCCAACTTGGCYTCAGCCCAACCCATGGAGCTGCCTGATGCCTGAGGGTTGGGGACTGCCCACCGGCTTCCCTGGCCAGCAATGTCACTGACACAGAAACTGCAGTGTCTTCTCAGAGCTGTACGCAACCTTTCCAAAAGATGACTGATGGTATTTGACAGGACAAGATAAGAAGCTTACAATGCTGGTATCCACGTTCACTCCTGCATATTAAACAGGGGAGTTCACTGCCCTGGRCTTCTATATTGATGCACATCAGAAGCACCAAGTGCTTTTTAAAACTATTTAATTTAATGAGTGAATATACCGGTGGTATAAGAGCTCTATAAAAATTAACAACATAAAGATTATCAGGGAGTTCCTATTCACCCTGCTTCATAATACATATTAGGCAGCGAAATTAAAAGAGTTTGACATTTAATTGACACAGAATGTAATTAGTTGATCCAATTGACTGCTGAACCAGTGACTGCTTGGGTCAAACAAAGGAAGAAGTGCTTACTATGGGCATTTCTGTCCAATGTAGGGTTGCCATACTCTCCTGAAGTACACCACTGTCACATTCCGAGCCAAGATTTTAGCCTTTTTGCCAATTACAGCACTCCAACTGTAAATATGTCCGAGTGGTGCATGATTTTAAAAGGATGTATTTAAATTCTACAATAAGCAAAGCCCCAAGACATTTCAAGAAACCTCTTCCTAGCATCCCAAATCTGCTCAATGCACTCTTACCAGCAGCCATAGTGTCCCTAAAGCAGCCGGGAATAGCTCAGGAAGGTGCCTTTCTGTCACCCTCAGGCTCCCAATGCAGGGGAAGCCACTTTCTTAAACTAGCCCCTCTTTCAAGCCTTTGGCACATGTGATCCAGTTCGAAAAGTTGTGGGCTGAAGAGAGAAAGGGAATGGTGACGCTAATTGTGCTACAATCATTTCCTTACCAGCTCAGAGTCATTGAGAGTTTTCACACTGCAGTTGTAAGTGAGAGCGATTTYGAGTGAAACTTCACTTGTGACAGCAGCAGGAAACTGCACCTCAGGGACTAGCAATTAGCTTCCTAAATCCCCAAGTTTTTCAATTTAACCTAGACAGCATCTGAACAGCAGAGTGAATTTGTATATTAATTATAAAACTTGTTTTCTTCCAGAGCAGTTTTAAATATAGAATGTCATTAACAAAGTGAACAAACAACATTTATTATTCCTAAATTATCAGCAATTCAGTGAYTCTTACACATACCCATGTGTCCACAGGTATCTGGATTCTCCAGTCATCACCAATAAACTGCATCGGGGCAACATAATTGCCACTGTATGACCATCAGGGTGTTTGAAATCCATCACAATCTACAAGGAAACAAAACCCGTCACCATGAATCAGCACGTCTTACAGAGCTTCATATACAAGTCAGGTAATTTCAAATCCTAGTTTTGTTTGTCTCTAATGTGTTCAACTGAATCTTTCTATGAAATTGCTACATATTTGCTAGGGATGCAAAAGTTTCCAGGTCTCCTGTCCTAAAGCTCTCTCCCTTTCAGCACTATGYTCAAATCTCAGGCATTCACACATATGCATATAGAGATAATTAAAATTATACATAAATTCCTTCTCACTATAAAAACTTTGTAAGGACRGTAGCATTGTTTAATCTCTCTGTGTACCTGTGAGGCAGGAAAGGACTGTCATCCTTCAACTAAAGGCAGCTGCACAAGAGGAAGAGAGAGCTCATTTGCTGTACCTCAAGCATCTGAAAGTTATGTACCTGGACTAAGGCTGTCAGCTACTGTCTTTTTGTGATGCCTGTGCAGAGAGACAAGTATCTCCACAGGGTTATTCATCCTAGTGTAAAAMGTAGAGCTAAGTGATGTGGAATGACCCTATACCCTCTGGAAATGCCCATCCATTCACARATGAACCGAGACAATTAACTCAGTAGATACATAACATTCAGATAAGCAGTATTAGGTGAAAGAAATAATTTCCAACATGCCCACATTCTTGGAGGTTTGAAGCACTGACTAACATGCCAACTACCAGACCATCCTTTTATTATCTGCCATCTGGCTTCCCGCCATGGCAATATACTGAGGTAACGCTTTCAGCTTTATTCCAATTTCACAGCCCAGATGGCAGTGGTACATTTTGCTTCTGCTTGGGCTAGGAATGTTATCCTTTTACATTTCCCAAATGAGAGAAACCCTTGCTGTGGAAAATAAGGAGCGGGTGATTTAAGCAAGCCAAATGAGTTACAGAAGACTTAGAGAAAAAGGAAAGTGGTCAAAAACTACTCAATTCAGCAGTTCCTGGTATGCYGGAGAATTAGCACCATGAAAACGCTGCTATCTGATTTGTAATCCCTTAAGTATGCAATTTAAAAGCAGACTTACTCCAGWATGCCAGATCGAAACAAATTAGGCAGTTCTGCTTCTGCGTACAGATGCATTTAACAAAGAGAAAACAGTGGTGCAACAATCAGTCATTCAGCACAACAACCCAGCAAGCCAGAGACTGAATAAGCAAGACTTTTAAATGCTACAAATTGCCACTAACAACAATTACTACTTCATGTTATGCACACTGAAGCAATGCACAATGACATTTACATTTTTAGGAAAAAAAAAATATTTATGCAGTACTACCACTAACGTAAAGTGAGACAGCTTTGTCTCCTGTAGGGCTATCTAAATTTAGGGCAAGAAGTGATAAAGGTGACAAAAAGTGGGGTTGAAAGGGATAGAGAGATATCAGGGAAGAAGAATAAAGCATAACTATAAACTCTGATTAATGATCATGAAATGTTTAAATAGCTACACAAAGAGGTGAAYGGCAGCTATTTGCTACTATACTCCTTCCCTTACCCTTTGCAATTTCTTCTAGGAAACCTCAAACAAGCATGGGGTGAAGAAGGAGAAAATCCTGTGGGCTTTACAAATCTGATTGGGGATGCTGTCCTGTAAAGCACAGGTAGCAGCAAGTCTCTGTAAAAAGATGCAGCTATCTGGCAAGGCAAATAAATCAGCAGACAACTAGTCATGACCAGCAAGTAAGGAAGGAAAAAGCATGAAAAGAAATGGGGAGTGAAGWGGTAGGATGAAATGGTCTCAGTCTGTCTTTTGCCTCTCTGGCTCACTGCTGCTGGTGACAGGTGTGAGGAGACATTATAGACAGTGGGTTCTTCAGCAGTAGGGCAGAATAAACCGAACACAAGGATGTCCAGATTCCTTCCTRGAAGAACCCCATTAGCCCAATGGTCCTCTTTCTGAGTCAGTAGTAACTACAAAGCTCTGTTCTTGCAGATGATATTAAAGATGCACTTTATCCATGAATCAATGAGGAGACCTCTGCACTTCCAGTTCCCATCTCCCTCTAGGGCCCGAAAGAGAACCTTGCTCCCTTTCATTTCTGCATGCCAGGCTGGTGACTCCATGTGAAGTAGCGGGAAACAGTACATCCTGCTCCTGGCCTTCTCTGCTGTTTTACCTCAATYATCTTCAATTCCTTTTCCTCCACCATCTGTGTGGCCCCAGAGTCTCTTCACAGGAGATGCTCCTCAAACCCCATTCTGTAAACAACTGTGCAYCCAAAACAACAGAGGTTCAGAGTGCTGTATAGCAGGTTACACACTGGGAATGAAAGGCCACAAAACTATCCCTGGCAGCTGCATTTTCAGGCAGCAGTGGCAGGAAAATAGAGAAGAGCATATCCTCCTGGCTGAATTTCAACTATGCTAAGTCAAAAAGAAAATACATGAAACAAAACTTCTGATGGTGCAGAATTAGAGGCTGAAAAGCAGGAGTTTATCTTGGTAATATCTGGCAAGTCTAGTCCTCACCAGAACAGAATCCCAGCTCAGTTCCTGCTCCCTACTTGTCTGGGAAGGGAAAGCTTCTGTACTATGATCTCACTTTGCGTGGCTGCTCCCCATCTAACTGAATTTCATCCTCATGAGAAGCTGTGATGATATGGGGAGGAAAATATAAATAGAGGATTAATTTACTTTCAAATGGGCAATGACATTAAATAATTTGCAGTAATCAGAAGAGCCAAAAACCCAAATCCAAAACTGACTTTTTCTTATGAAACAGATTGAAGTCCTCAGCTAGAATTATTAAAGCTTTGGACTTACCTATTAACAATGAATTTGATGTTGCAACTGAGACAGAATAAAATTCAAGGAACATCTGAAGAAAATTAGTGCAATTCCTATGCATYATTCCTTCATCTAGATTAACTATCCCTGAATTCTTAAAATAAACCCAAGCAGGACTACGTCTTTTAGYCTTTCTTTACAGTACAGTGAAGAACATTTAAGTAGGAAGGATTTTTTAAGAACTTTGTTCTTATCTCTGGTAAGCCTGTTACTGATTGGAGTAGATAACATTCCCACACTCCTCTGTGTGTCTTTATCCTGGCAGAACATTCTCAATTGTCACTGTCAAACACACACGCACCCAGAAGATTAACGCATTTGGTCCTCTTTTTAATTTACTAAGGACGTACAATCAATAAAGCAACTTCACCACTGCTGAATCAATCTGCTTCATGACAGCTTTGCTCCACAGGAGCTATTTCCAATTACTATTTTTGTTTTTACCTATTTTCTTTTTTCTCTTAGATGGCAGAGTCAATAAAGATCAAATTTCCAGCTAGCTCATGGTGCATCATCTAAGGATTACACTCAAAAAATAAGAACAGTTGATGTTAAGTTTTAGCATTTTTCCTTCTAGTATGGAAAAAGTGTGTCTCTAAATATAGCAGAAAAACCTTAAAAGAAACAAACAGCTAATATCTACTTGTGGTTTTAAATAATTTGTCATGATGCCAGGTTATTTAAGAGAGAGTGTTCATGACAAGGGAGCACATGAAGCAGTGAACAGATTTCAAGGATGGCTAAACATCAAAGCAAACAGACACCCACGTCACCAACATTGTTCCTGTGGCATAAAACACGGCAAAGTGCAAAAATCAAAAAATAATCCAACATAAAAAGGGAATAAAGTATCTTTTTCTTAACACCTCAGGGAATGAGWAGTTGGCATCACCTTCCAGTGCAGTGGTACTATACTTCATGAAAGAGCAGGAGGATGAAGGTGAATGACTGGTCTATCAAAATAAGTAAAGATTCAAAGGCAAAACAGAAATGCAACTGAGCTGTAAGGACAACATCAGTAAGAATTTCACTGCTACAGTAGGGAATGATAATTATTTTTCTAATATTTTTGTTGTGGGTTAAAGTGTCTCCTTTTGTTTCCTTTCTTGGGGAATTTTTCTTTCCCATTTTGTTGCTAGGATACACTGATTGCCAAGTCATCCTTTTGATGGCTGGGCAATTGGAGAAGACAGAAGAAACCTAGCCCCACTTGAAAAATCTCCCTGTGCATTTCTCCTTCCTGGCAGTTTTTTTTTCCTCTCTTTGGAGAGAGGGAAGTTCTCGGGAGTTTTGGGCTCAGGGAGGGTGCGCGCATGCATGCGTGTATGTGTGTATGTGTGTGTGTGTGTGTGTGTGTGTGTGTGGGGCGGGGGGTAGCTTCGCTTCCTGCCCTGCTTGGCTCGGAAGAGGATGGTGGACCTGCTGCTGGATATCCAGCATCTCCAGTCRTTGGCTCCTGTTTGCTGCACTGTGATCTTCTGCCCACCCCATGCCTTGCTGGGAACCCCTGAGATTCCAGCTGCAGTAGTCGAGTTCTGCTGCAGCCACGGGATTCTGCTCGTCTCTTTGCCCATATGGCCATTCTGTGGTTTCTTGCTGTCCAGAGGAGCACCAAGATCAGTGTTCCCGCTGTGAGTTTGCAGAGGAACTTTTTCTCCATCCACCTCTGCCGGTTTGTGTCCGCCATTGGCCACTGGGAGCTCTGAACCAGCCGGGACCCGCGCCACAGCGCCCCCTGCAGCCACCGGGGAATCATCGCACCCACCCTGCCCGGCCGGGAGCCAACAGCGCCCCTGCCGGCTGGGACTGTAACTGCACCAAAGGGGAGGGTGTGTCTCTGTGAGGCTGTCACTGGGTTTGGGACTGGGCTGGTGGTTGCTACTGTTATTGTTACTTGTTTCACCTTGTTACACATGTAAGTAAAAACTGTTATTCCCTTTTACCCATATTATTGTCTGAAAGCCTGTGATTTTCAAAGCTRTRATAATTTGGAAGGAAAGGGGGCCATATCCAGCACTCCAAGGGGGGTCCCTGCCTTCATTGGCAAGCRTCTGTCTTTTAAACCAAGATAGCTTTGTCTCTGATGCAATTTGTATTTTATGTTAATAGACACCTTAGATGAAACACACTCTAAAGCTAAAAAAGTACAATGTGGAATGCTTCTCAAGTCTGACATTATTTACTGAATTTTTAGAG